TGTATATATTTATAATGAAACATTCATTTAGGATAAATGGAAATAAATGTTCCATTATGAATGTATAAAGTGTAAAGTTAATTCATGTACATACTTGCAATGAAAAATTGATTTGGGAACGTCAAGTCGATCATTTAATTTAGATAAATTTCTTCGATAGAGTACAAACACTTGTGGGAGTTCCTACCAGTTCTATTCGTTATTCGTTAACATCTCTTCTTCTTCGTATATACAAACGAATTGAGCAATCACTAAATAAAGACGTCTAACAGTAGTAATAACACCACCGACGTTTGGATGCGGAAATAAAGAAATTGAAAGACGATAATGGGAGGATATGGATGAAGAGCGAAAATGGAAGTCGATGGAACAATGTAAAGTAAGTTGTTGAAAATCGATTGCGCAACGACGACAAGAGAACGTAGCGGCCGCGATCGCACCGTGTCGACCAATCTAAATTCCTAATTACCAGTTGGCGAGGCAAGTTTAATTGCACGATACGGTGGCGGGAGTATGATAAAGTGACATTCGTTTTCGAGAGGCGGCGAGCGTTTAAAACGCACGGTTTCCTGCAGCCGCGAAAGGTTATTTTCACTCGCTCTGATAAAGTTTATCGTTACATAATTCGTCAAGCGCGTAGGAGTCAGGCGCGCGTTCTACTCGCGCGATTGTTTCGCGTACGCCTCGTGCCGTGAAATTGCCACTTGTACACGCACGTACACGCTGACACTCTTACGAACGCGAGTTAAGAAACTTTAGATCTACGCCAGTTATCAGAAAGAAGCGGGTCCCACAATGAAAAGACGAAAAAATACGCTGCTCGTCGGAAATTGTATAAAATTACAGTCTTTGTGCAAGATAAAATCTTTGCAAACGTACCTACAAACATTGAATCTAAACAGGAATTTATTTTACTCTGTAAATATTCTAATATAAACTTTACTTTCAGTATTTTTTATATCTAATAATTTCCTACGAACGGATAAAAAATCTACAGTTTGGTAAAAACTATTCGAGCCACCAGTGCGATACATTGTACGAACTATAATTAGTGTAATTGCGAACATGATCGTCAATCAAAGGGTAACGAAGGGATAAGCTATAGACGATTTACCTGTAAAGCTATTATTACCATCCTAATTACGAGATATTCGAGACTCATCGCAGCCTGGCTTTCTGCAATCGATACTGCTTGAGGCTTCCGTGTATAAGCTGTGCAGCTATCCAAAACTAATTTGGGAGGTTACAGCTTCATCACTATCCTGGTATCAGGTAACGCGCTGATAGCAGAGTACTGAGAAGAGTGGCTGATCGTGATCAGCACATCTTGGACCAGTTATAGTTACGTTAAGGAACGGTTTCTCTTTCGAAATAAAAATTGCGACTTACGCAAATTTTACACTTACCTTACGCTGTATATTTTTTGCAGATATAAATCACGTTGTCCTCTAAACGTTAATAGGAACAAAGTTCTTCAGGATCCACGAGTCTTCAGCTACCCGCTACGAATAATTAACGCAGTTTGCAATAAGGCAGGCACATACGTGTTGTAAATCATAGTCTTTATTATTAAATCTTTGACTGAAATACTCGTACAAGCGAATCGATATTCATACTCTTATCTCGTGTCTATTTAAGAAAAAGAAAAGAAGAAAGAACGATTATCAAACGCTACGTTATGTTCTCGCATAGATACGAAATCGAAGGACTTTTCCTTTCGACTAACCGACGCTTTGCTGTCCAAGTATCGCGTGGACCACGATCGTTTCAACGCACGACGTGCACGAAAATTAGTGCTGTTTGATTCATTGTTTTCGGTAGCTGTACTCGTTTCAAGTGCTTGTGGGACAAGGGATTGAAGGGATTATAGAATGGAACTGGTGTCACTCAACCTGAAGAACATCTTCAGGCATTCTCAGCAACGTGCTGTCATTCGTACAAGTTCGTACGTTGCTCCTCTTGGGATTCGCAGTGACGTTAACTAAAAATAAAATGGATTTTACTGGTTAGAATAAAAATATTTGTATTTATTGAATCAATAAAGATGGAAATATGGATTGCAATTATTTTTATACTCTTCGTGTAAGAAATGATTTATTTTTCGAAAGATTAGATCGAGTTAATGGAATAAAGGATTAATTTATGAAAAATTGAATTCCCACGGAAAGATTAATACCGGTGTCTTCGATAATGGTACAAAATTATGAAGTGTAATTAGATTGTTGTGACTGATCACACGTCAGGACAGCAGCACGTCGACAGACACGCGATTATTTCATCCAACACTGGTTCGACACGCAGAAAATTCCATTTTTTATATGGATTAAGGTATAGCGAATCCTGTATAAGAGGCGCGTGGGTATCTCCAACGCTTGTGGGAATTACTAGCTCGGAGCTAAAGAGTGGAAAACTATAAAATTAAATTAAATTTCACCTACCTCCCTTTCTAAGTTGCCTGGCCCAACTCTAGGCGCCGCCTCTTAGACAAGATTCGCTATATTATCCGTAATCTACGCGAATGTTGTAATTCTTATCTAATCTAAAGACGACAGCGAATCTCTACGCACAATTATTCGCTCTGCCACGGATCTCCTCCAATTATTTTCGATTCTCATTGGCGCATTCAGCACTCGTTAGAGTCCATAGACAACATTTTAATATAACGACGTTGAACAACGAATAAAAAATGATCTGTCTATTCGTTACAACCAATTGAACAAAAATTAAAATTTCAATTGTCAAGTGAAGTATCTCGTGATGAATACATAAAAATACCAACAATTGAAGATTGTTTATGTACAAAAAAAAAAAGTTATGAGCGTTGGCGAGTATTGTGCAAAACTGAATGTTGCAATCTGTCTACGGAGAGCATGAATAAAAAAAAACATGTCGACTCGATAGGTTTAACGCAACGTTCAACGATGCTTAACGAACCGCGGTAAAAAGCACCGAATTGAACAAGTTTCGTTTAAAAAATAATGGAATCGTTCGTTGTTGAATTTGCGCCATTTGTCATGTTTGTATTCCCGAGGCTAAAGTTCGAATCACCGATTTGAAACAATAGAATGTTACTCGTCGGTGAACTCCAATGGGAAAACTTTTCTCCGAGTGGAAACTCCGATGGCTGCGAGTGTAAACGTATATACAAGGTGTTCCATAAAATATGAAGATGATTTTGTCGGTAAACGTATGACAGACGAGTAACAAAAAGTGCTTGTACAAACGTTCATTTCGCACGAATATTCTTTATTCTTATATGAATCCCAAACAAAGTAATACGTAAAACGTCATTGTTCGTGACAAGGTAATTAACAATGATTCTGACTGTTCTTTATAAACAATAAATAAAGTACATCAGAGATTTGACTCTAAAGTCTTTTAATGATTTTTACTTTAATCCATAATATAGATGTAAAAATGAATCGAGACGAGGTATGAAATATTTAATGGTGTGCATAAATATTTAACGACAAGTAAAACTTGGTACAGAAAAATTCAGGTTGTAACGAGACACGTTTGGAAAAATTAAAAATGCACGTCACTCGGACATCAGACAGGATAAATGTTTAAATGAACTTTTATTATTTTGGTGCGACAAATGGACTTTTGAATTACACATATTTCATTAGACACTCTGTATATATGTGCACACGTATACTTTTGCGCCCCGATTTGTCTCTACTTTAATCTTTCTACGGTCAAATTCCTCCCTATCTTATTCCTGCCATTTTCATTGGCGCTATTATCAAATTACTAAACTATGTACCAGTGTTTCTCGAACAACACTTTTGTTCTCCTTCGCTTTGAATAAAAGATAATTCTTGACAGGTTTTATTTTAGGCTACTCTTAGATTAGATTTTTAAATTACATTGTTTCCGCAAATACATTTAAAAATAGCTCTGTTTATATTTCAAAAATTAGAATTGAATTTAAATCGTGCCAATTTTGTGCATTGTTTCCACCAGAACCAGAACAAAACATATTGAATAACAACTGGATATTTTAGTCGCTCCCAACTGTTGATAACGTTAACCGATGACGATAACAAAACACTACGAATATATTTGTTGATTTCGTTATATGTTCAATTATTTTCCCAACAGCTCGCAACTGACTTCAGTTTGAGAAACACTGTTATACACCATCGATCACGCAAGTGCAAACGGGACACCAATCTCTTCCTTCGACTGTTGAATAATAACCATAGCGTTGTGTCAGGTAAATGCATTTTATTTCTTCTTCTCTTTCAAATATAAAAATCATTATAATCATCGGGGCGAGTACAGTGTCGCGCACCATCATCGTACAAAAATCCGTGTTGGCGAGCGTTTATGGTTATTATTCACGTTCCAAACTCGAGCATCGCGGATCGTCTACACGACAATTAACGATAATGATAACAATAATAATAATAATAATAAAAAGAAAAGAAATTGCATCCGTGCGAGCGGCCGAAGTATCAACACGACGCGTTTCTAAATTTGATTCTCCTATCACCGGTCGTCATCGTTATCGTCATCCCCCGATCGTGTGAACACGCGTTTACGATCATGCTCATTGCATGCTCGTCTTACGTTTCTTTCCTCATCTATTTTTGCAACGAAAGTCTAGGCACGAGTGACAATTCGCTCGGAGCATCGATCACACGCTGCACGCTCGTTCGAAAAGAATCCTGTCTAAGAGGCGCAGCAGGCTGTCAGGGTCCACGCCATGCCTCTTAGACGTCGAGGAATCAGAAATATGAACGCTCATATTCCCCCTAAAAGCTCGAGACTCGCTCGTATAGCATCCATCTCTTTCTTGGTTCTAAGAAGCTGTTGGGAATACCCATGCGTCCCTTCGACGGGCAACTTTCGCGTCTCTTAGACAGGGTTCGCTGTAATCGTCGATTACAATGGACTGTCTGCGCGCTGTGGAACGCAGACTCGACGAACTCTTTCGTCCTGGTTAATCCTCTATCGCATGAAGCTCTTTTTTCGAAAAAAAAAAAAAAAAAAAAAAAAAAAAAAAAAAAAAAATATTTTTAGGTTGTTTGTATATGCCCGAATTGACTTGGATATTAACGGTAATTCTTTGAAAATCGCGATCGAAGTTCACGCTCTCTCCCTTTAAAAATCAGAAAATTTGGACGATAAAGACCGTACTAAAAAATACTCTTTTTGGTTCCTTGATACCTCTCCCTTCGGGATTAAAATAATAACTGCGAGATAGATGAAGGTAGTTAACAAAAATTTGATAACATTGAACGCTATATCTGTCGACGTAGCAGATAATAACGAATTGTCTGTCGAAAACAAGTTACGTTATTATTAACGTTTTGAATCATCTTCAGAGTAAACGTGATTATATTATATTATTTATACACTTTTTATCTATTTATTTACTTGTTTCGATGATTAACAGATCGACGTCTAATTTTGTACATAACTTATAACAACGTAAACTGATTTAAAGGGACATGCCCCAAAGAAATATATATGATATTTTATGCATCTAATCAAATAGTCTTAATATCTGAGTGTAGTATCTTACCTAAAGTATTTTCGAAGAAAGCTATAAGTATAGATAATTAACTCGCGGTGTGTAGCCTTAGGACATGCGTTAAATAAATGAATGTACCGAGCTACGCGAGATGTGTCATTTTAATTTTTATAAGAGCATTTTGGTAGCTAATATTTATTCACTAATGTTTATCGTTTGATGTCAACCGTAAGCTCTTTATTTATTTTTATAAATTGATAGACGATTGGATTTCTTCTAAAAATACACGTTATGATTATAAACATTACGTACCTTACCCATTCTGACTATTACGATATCTAATAATTCCGTTTCTATTTTTATATTATTGTTTTTCTTCCCGCAGTTTTTCCCAATTGTTTATAATTTCAATTTCAATTTTATATTCATAGGTTACATAATTTTGATGATTCAAAATGCATTTAACGCTTCTGATAAATATGAAATTGAAATTATAAACATTAGTCCGTGACTTACCTACCTTGACTATTACGATTTTTTTTTTCTAATTTTCTGTCTACTTCTACGTTATTATTATTATTATTTTTGCTCTCATTGTCTCATTAAAATATTTTTAATTTGTTATTTCAATTTTACATTTACAGGTTAGATAATTCTGAAGATGGTTTGAAATGCATGAATCCTAATCCTTATAATAATAAAAAAATTCAATGTATAACCATAAACATTATTTCGTACCTTACCTACCTTCACTATTATGAAATACTTTAATTTTGATTCTATTCCTACATTATTGTTGTTGTTTCCACTGTTTCTCTCAAATATTTACAATAATAATTTCAATGTTATATTTATATCTTACATAAATCTGAAGGTGATCCAAACCGTTAACAATCAAAAATACCTTGGAAACTGACAATTTGTTATTATATCTATATTGGACAAAACTGAGTAATTTGTTAATTTTGTCTAAAATCAACAAAACTCGTAAAATCGAACAATGATGCAATTCAGGGAGAAAAGAAGACGTTGGAAAAATTTGGTTTAAATAACCGATGACTATAGACGACTATTTTATGTATTTACAGTGTTTGTAAACGTTAAGAAAAAGAAAACATACGCTAAACGTACACAGAACGTAAACACTTGGGCAAAATTAAATACTAACATTATTACATTATTCTATAAAATATTATTTTGCATACGTTTCGAATATGGTTTTCACACCGTACACCATAAATGCATAAAATTCGCAGTCTACCAATGACGATCGACGATTCTAATACCACTGATCTCGCAATAAACCGCGTAACTAAAACAATAATTATACTCAACCCCGGCTGGCGAGTAAATGATTCCATAAAATGTCGTTTTCGATTTCTATACTTTCTAAAAAAAATTACGGTGCTTCCTTTTCTCGGTGTTGGTCTACTTTTGTCTAAAAAATCGAATCCCGAGGGGATCTGCGAGGGGTCCATCGACGTCGCGTACAGACTGTAGAGAAGAGCCAATGCAAACGAAGGTACATGTGCTCCTATTTTGCAAGATTTGGACACGTATGTCTTTGATTTTTTTGGCTTATTGATTTCTACGAGATTCCTGAGGGAGTCTCGTCCATGTCAAAGTACCAAAGTAACCCAAAACATATGCCGTTAAAATTTCCCTTCCGGCAAGATTACCGCCACATGCGCTATCGGTTGCGTCGACTTTTCAGCTTGTACACAGCTTTCAAAAGCAAATGTACGAGTTAAAAAGTCAATGCAATCGGAAGCACACGCGTTAAAATCTTGCTTGTGTCAATATTCGGGCACATGTGCTCCCATTTCGTGTGCAGCAAACTTCGAGGCGTATGTGCCTTCGGTTCCTGTGGCTTTCGGGATTCCGCGTGATCTTTGAAGCAGACGTACGCGAATAAAAATGTCTCGTTCGTTGGATCGTGTCGAAGGAAGTGAGATACTTGCGAAAATCGATAGTTCAACCCCTTAACCGTGATCAGTTTTCATTCAATTTCGGAGGAAAGTGTGGTCTTGGAAATCGGATTTCTAAATCATTGGACTGCCTCCGAATGGTATTGATAAAAACTGTTTTGTTTCTTTTCTTTTCTTTTCTTTTCTTTTTTGTTTGATTCTTTTTGTTTTTAAAATGAAAGAACATTACACGCGGTTCATCGATAATATTTATTGACGCGATACGATTTCGGTAAAAATACAAAAGTTTGCGATAAAAGACGCGAGCTTCTCGAATGTACCCGGTTAAAGGGTTACACGCACACGTTTAATTTATACAACGATGATATATCTATGTATCTATATATATAATATATACGTAAACCTGTCACCTAGGTTAAAACGATCGGTAATCTAGATCGAAACTGACAGATTGTGACGGTGATCGATGTCGAGGACGTTACTTAAAGCTTTCAGGAATTAAAGAAGCATCGACGAGACTGGACGAAGAAACGACGGGAGACTCGATGATTCTGTTTTTATTTCCGGTCTACTTCGATCGAATCATGAAACGAATACTTTGACAGAATCTCTGCAGTCTTCGAATGCTTTTTGCGCTCCCAAAGGAGTCTTTATGACCGATTTCGAGTTTGATACGCGCGCTCAGAATCGTTAGGGAACTTTGCTAGTCCGGCGATATTGCGATCCTTCAGCTTCGGTTATTTTTTAAGAACGAATACTATCATTCAAACGTTCAAGTCAGAAGTGGTCGGTTTAGACTCGAGTGATCCCATTCTTTGAGCATCTGCTTGGATTAAAGTTTGGGGTCGAAGTTTCCAATGAAACTTCAGCTGGAGATACTTTAGCAGTTATCCGCAAGCACTCGAAGGAAATCGATCATTTCCTTTTTATCACAGACTGAATCCAACGTTGTAATTTTATCTGAAGTCTTAAACTTGAGGACTACGACTCGAGTCAACTTTACTACGAAGATATTACATTTAACGAACGTGCAGAGTTCTATGTCTTAGAATGTGATAACGTTTGAATCAAATCTCTTCCTCTAATGCATGTTGAATGGTGCAACTTTTCATTATTTCCAATTCTGGAGACGATATTTTCGACTCGAGTCATCCTGATGTACACCAAGAAGTTTCTAGGTAGCTTAAGAGTTGTTCGAAAGCTCTAGGGGTCTATCATCCATCTTCCTTCGATGGAATAAATGTCAAATAGTTCGAGAGACGTCCGAGGCTAAGAGTTATTTAACAGACCTGATTTTATTATCAGTTAGAGAGCAATTCTACTAAAAGTCTCAACTAGAATCATTCTAACATCGAGGATTAATATTTATCCATTATATAGGATTCTAAGCTGAAATACTAACAGTTTATTTACGCTTTCAGTCATCGTGAAGTTGACGATTCATATTTGATTAAAAAGTAGGTCTAGCTAAAGTTTACAAGTACTGCCATCGTTATTTGATTCGATTTAACATAGAAGACAACCTTTCGTTCACTAATATTCAAGTTTCTACAGTTGAGACTCGAGTCGTCTCGTCGTTGAAGATTCTAACTAAAGTGTTAAAGAGCTAAGTCTTCGAGTAGCTTCAAAGTTGTGTAAGGCTATCCAATTATGAGGACTATCCAACCTATCAAGGCAAACTTTTACTTAATGGACATCATCGTTCAAACTTCCAGGGTTAAGAGTTCCGACCCGTATCATACATCTTGATGTTGAGTTTCCCATCAAATAGTCGCGAAGAATTTTAAAGCCTAATGATAAGGAAATTTCAAGCGAAGTTCAAGTAGCTCCGAAGTTGGAAGCTGTCCAATTAAAGACTACCCAATGTACCGAGGAAAAAGTTTGTTCTACGAGCAATGCTACTGGAAACTTTCTTATTCGAGATGTCCAACTCGGACTGAGACATCTATCTAACATGCATATTTAAGATCCTATCGTTAAGAAACCTCCAGCAGGAGATTCGAATTGTTTTCAGAGTCTTTAGAGACTAGCCAATAAGAGAACAAGGAATATTCATCGTAAAGATCTATCTTTGTATATGTATGTATCCTTGTAAATGTATTTCAAAGTGGGGATATCCGACCCTAATCATTCTCACATTGAACATCCACACTCCAGCTAATCTCCAATTGAAGTTTTAAAGTAGTCCACAGATCTTCAGGGACTATCTGTAAAATTCAAGACAAGTTTTTAACCAATGATACTCAAACTTCTAACAGTCGGGACATCCGACTCCAGTCATCCAGATATTGATCATCCACACTCAGCAAACACCGAAAAATTCATTTCAATTATTAGCTGAGGTCCCAGAGTACCTTCCAAGTCTTCAGACGCTATCTTCGACACTGAATTCACACTTTCATCCATCGATCACCACTCAAACTTTCAAGAGCCCACACATCCGACGTCGAATATCACTTAACGCACTCGCGCTCTTAGGATCTAGCAAAGTTCCCTAAAAAAACGAAAATTCTTAACGTGGCTACTGGACCACCAAACCCGTGCAGCTATCAAAATCGTCGACCCTCCTTCGTTTGCGAGCTTTCGATCGCGCTTCAACGTCTGGCCAAATTACAAAACATCCCTGGAGCATCATCGCCTTGGTCGCGGTTTCCGTCGTCCTCGTGGCGCGTGTCTCTCGAGCTGGCTCGATTGGATGCTCAGCCGTGAGAGCCGAGGGAAGCCACGACCAGCGTCGACGACGGTCGTCGTGGAGGGTGTCGCAGCTGGTGACAGTCGAAAAGCGAGACGATCGCGACGCGGCCGAAGGTTTTACAAGTAGTGGCGGGTGAAGAAGGTGGTGGTAGTAGAGCAACGGAGAACAAGCGGACGGTGGTGCACGGCGTGGTGCACGCCAGTCGGCCTGGCTCTCCTTAGCGTTAACACGCGATATACCAGAAAAACCAGTTTGCTTGGCTTTTTATTAGGCCTTTACTTTCGCCTGGCAAACTGAAAGGAAGAGTGAGCGAGCGAGCGAGCGAGCGAGCGAGCGAGGCCTGGCTAGAGTAACCGATGAGCGAGCGAGCGAGCAAAGTGACTGACTGAGCTAACTAACGGGGTCACCAGTCGATACTGACACGCGCATATAAAGAACGCTGGTACCGCACACACGCATACATACACACACACACACACACACACACACGTGGGCGCTAAGACGCATACTCTCTCACGAAAACAGCGCGCGTAGGCAATAGAAACGCGCGCGAGCGCGGAGATCCGTGGCTGAGGTGGCTCTGTGCGTGTACGGAGCATATACACGCGCAGAGATACACGCGAAGATATCATCGGTAACACGCGCACCTACACGCGCGCGCGCGCGCGCAGCTCTCGCTCGCGGTATTAAATAATTACGGTAGCTAATAAAGAAAGTTATGCAAGCCGTTGCCGCCACGGGAGACTAGGCTCGCGAGGATCGCTCTAGGGTCGCCAGAGAAAGCGTCCACGGGTTCCTCTGGGTCGCGTCCTTCGACTGGTTCGTCTCTTTCTTCGTTCCGATGGACCCTGGAAAAAGCCCGGGAAGATTGTCTGTTTCCGTGTCTCGTCGTTAGGCTCGCGCGATAGGCTTTCGTCTCTTTCTGGCTGAGCGTGGGCGCGCGTGTAGACGTTCGTTTACTTGTTTTTGTTTGTTCAACCGTGTGTTTGCGCCGGTATCAAAAGAAAACAAACGAATAGGTAAAACCGACTCCCACCCCCTCCACGCCCGTGAAGCTCGTTCTTCGTGTCGCACCGATCGCGCGCGCCGCTCGTCCTCGATTTCAATCTTATCACGTTACATAGTATCTAGATGAAATGTGTTCACAGCCACACATTAATATTTATACATAGATTTTATACATGTATTTATATATTTAAATATATATTTATATATTTATAATATTTTTGTTTGCAAACGCCACGCCCCGTTCAATGTTTGTCTCGTTTTCATTTTTTTTCTTTTTCGATTTTTTTTTCTCTCCATATTTCTCTCTCTCTCTCTCTCTCTCTCTCTCTCTCTCTCATCTATCCGCGATTCACCACTACCTTCGTTTCTTATCTATTTACTCGGGGTACGCGTCCTCGAAACGTTCTCGTGTTTTATTTTATTTATTTGTTTATCATCTTTTTTTTTTACGTTTTTTTTTTCGTTTTTTGTTTTCTGTTTCTGGAAAAGAAAGTTAGGGGAGGCGACCGGAGCGCCCCGGTGAGACGCTTCCGTGAGTTTTCAGTCGTGATTCTCTCGCGAGTCGTGCTCCATCGAGTCGCCCGTTTCCTTCCCGTCCTTCGTTGTTCCTCTTCTAACCCGTGGATCCTCCGTTCCGTTTGGAAAGACTCGCGGTACAGTGACGCCACCGCTTGGCGGCGCCACTGTGTCCCGTAAACTCCGGGCACGCAGCAGCGTGCCCCGAAAAACGCGCGCGCAGTCTCTCGCCGCGAACAACCACCGGAGTCTTCTCGGAGGATCCCCGTTATTCGCGCGTCTACGTGTGTACATGGGGTATCGACGAAAATATAGAACCTTCTCCCATCGAACGACTCCTGATGTGAAATTTAAGCGCGAAGGTTCTCTGTCCTTTCGCCACCTAAACCGTCGGTGCTGGAGGATATCGGTTAAAGCAGCTTAACACTCCTGTTTATTATGTAATCGGCCGAGGATCGTGGAAAAATATCTCGTCGACAAAGACTCAGAGAGAGAAACGATGAATTTTCTGATTCGTATCGTCAGAAATCGATCCAGGAAGAAGGTCCCCGCTTCGAATACCCCGCCTACGATATAATATGCGTTCCCGTTTCTGTCTCTCGAATGCTAGGCACACAACACAATTGTTACTTTGTATTCGTTTTCGCTTGGAGTCTTGTAGTCTCTCAGTTGATCATCCCCTGCGACCGTAGCAAGGTACCGTCGCGTTTGGTCCTCCCTCGCGACGTCTGAGCGTTCGTCCACCGCGTCCGAGAGGAAATAGAGACCACGGACGCCCTAGGCGGGGGAATATCGCGTCCCCTCCCGTCTCTCTCCCCTCGGCGGTCAGTCTTCCTTTCGACCCTGGTCACTGTCACCGATCCACGACGACAACGGATGATAACACGCGCACCGTTACTCAAAAGCTTGTTTCTCTTCCGTCGCGACGAGCTGCCTCGTCACGCTCTGGGTGTGCTTAGCGCTGGACCGCTCCGAGCGTCAACTGAGGATCGCGTCGCAAGGTCGGCAGCCGGCCAAGGTCGACGTTACGTCCTCGAGGAGACGATGGCGTGGTTGCCGTGGACGTCTGCCCTTGGAGCTGGCGATTTCGGCGTGGGTGGTCGTAGTCGTAGCGGTGGTGATGGCTGCGCTAGCGGCGACGATGGCGTTGGCGTCTGGGTCGCATCACGACGAACACGCCATCCACGAGTTACAGGTGCACGTGTAACACGCGGTGGGTATCACGGGAGTGTAGTAGTATCCGTTCGCGTAGACGTAGGTGGCCGGGGGACCGGGTGGCGCTTGTTGATGGCTGGTGAGCCGTTGCTGCTGTTCCTGGTAGAGGACCTGGTAAGCTAGACTGTCGATCAACGCGAGCGTCTGTCGTCTTTCGTGGCCCATCAGGCACACGGTGGACTCCTCCACGACGTTATGGAGTAGTAGCAGGTATTGGTATTTCAGAGCCTCCTCTTCGGGTCCCACGAAGTGGTTCCACAGGTAGTTTTCCAGCTTGGCGCGTTGTTGGCTGATGTCAGGAAAGTCGATGAAGAATCTCGAGCACATATACCGTTCGAGGGTCTTGATGTAGTCGGGTTGGGAGGGTTTGTACATCTTCACGAGGAGATTGCAGTACTTGAGCAGACCGCCGCCGCGTATCTCCTCCGGATGCCTCGTCGAAATCAGTTTCTTGTGTAGATGATAAAGGGCTTCCTGGAAGTCTCCGTAGACGGACTCGCCGACCACGGTGGGATAGAAGTTCTCGCCGATGGGCAGCTTGCTGCACTCGTAGAACAACAACAGGGAGTCGAGTACTATTTGAAAAGAGTCCACGGAGAACTCGAATTGCCGCCTCATAGAATCGACGAATTTCAACTCGACGTTCCTGTGACCGCGGGAGTTACCTAGGGAGATCAACGACCACCTGTCGCCGTCGTTGTTCACTTTCACCATCTTGCTTACATAGGCTTCCTTCAGGCTGCAGGTGGTGATGCGTTTGCGACTGACGCCTTCGGGCAACAGGTCGAACAGGGAGCCCAGCACCGCGGCCTTCACCTTGTCGTAGTTTCGTCCGCTGGACAATTCCACGGCGAAGATCAGATCCAGATCGTTGTACGGTTGGGACTCTGTCGCGAGAACGTGAGAGGCGGCTCCTCCGTTCAGACGTATGTCGCGTACCCTCATCCCAGCACCGCCGTTGCTGGGATCGGACTCTAATTTGCTGCGAACCACGGTCACCAGGTCCCTGAGTCGCACCTCCAGAGTGGGGAAGTTGCCTCTACCGTGGATGCAGACCACCTCGTTCATCACATCGTTCAGACGACGGACCTGCTCGAAGCTGAGCACCGCCAGCCTCTGCTGGGGATCTGGACAGTCCGGGTTGTTATTAGAGTTGGTGTTGCTGCTGTTGTTCTCGTTCCCGCCATTGGTCTTGGTGCCGTTCACCTGGCACAAGGACTCCATCATAGCGACCCGACGCTGGCGTTCCTCGCCGATCTCCAGGGAGCCACACTGTAACAGAAATCAAATACGGGACGTTATTAGAGCTCCTACAATCCTGGCGTTTTTTTTCTTGCAGATTCTATTTGTCAGTTGGTATCCAGAGAGGCTTTCTGAGTTGTTGATGCTGATTTTATGAATCTCAAGTCAGATTTTGTGAATTGAATACGAAGGTTCGAAAATGAACAAATTTGCAATTCGCACGAATGTTGACAAGTAGAAGTTTCTTGACGCAATGAGAATAAATAAAAAAAAATTGTTTAGTTCGCATGAAATTCAGTAAAATCAGAGGTTTCTTGAGTCGCGAATTAGGAACCTGACTTCAGATTCGTAAAATTCAATCCAGTCTCATATGAATCTATTTGATTTTTCTATATTTTTCAATGATTATTGATTAATGATAAAAGAAAACAACTTCAAAGCGATGTAGCACTTTGATCTAGAACTATCCTAACCTGTCAACGTTTATGTACCAATTTTCTATTCCATAGTCAACGAACATAATTTTTAAAAAATATTAGCAGCATCAAAGATATCATTCGTACGAGTTTAATTTTGAGTTGTTTATCGTGGAATGTACCATTTCATAATTCAATCTGTTATATTGTATTACGAGCAACAAATAAAATGTTGTTTATCTTTTATTCACGTTTCGAAATTTTTTAGCTTTTCCGAGGGAGCGACGACGTCGACGCCTTGCGTCCACGTTCGCGACGTCGACGCTAGGTGCCTCTGAATGGTTCGTTAATGAACGCGCGCTCGGTAAATTATCAGCGATTAACTGGACTCGCTGGAAAAAAAAGTTGGATAACAGGAAACAACTGTTCGCAGCGAGCGAACTGCTTGAATTCGATTGAACTGATTGCAGAGACGGAGATGAGTAAAATTTCATTCAAATAATAGACGACGACGACTGAAGCCAACGCATAGCAATTTACTCGTGATGTTTACTCGATCGGACAATACAATTTTTAGGTATTCATTTGGAAATATTTCATTGCATAAGTCGGTCGAACGATTGAATTTTCAACTCAAAGTTTATACGCATCAAGGTAAAAAATTTAAATTATACCTTTTCTATCTTCTAAATACAATCATATTAAAATTCAATTCGCGTAAGTGAATACAGGACACACGCCATAAATGCATCAAATAAATATAATAAATAAAAGAACACGAAGCTCATAGATTTCATTGCTAGACAAAATATCTCAAGGAGAAGAATGTTGACGCTGTATAGTTCGATAACGTCGCCAGTTAGTCATCGTTATTCCAGCAGCTGATTGTACTCGAAACCGGATTGTCATCGTCGCGAACGTGATAGTTTTTATTCGAGTTTCCGACAAACGAAGCCAAGTCACATTTGTTTTTTGTTTTTTGTTTTTTTTTTTTTTTGTAGCAGTAAAATCTATCACTTTTTTTCTATCGTATAAAAAAGTTTGAATTGAAGGAACGCGCACCGAAACACAGTTTAGAGTTCATCCCGAGCGCGATAAGGCTCGATTATCGTCTACTTTGTTAGTTGGTAATAGTGACTGGGTCGATTACGAGTCGACCTACGTCACCGAGATATCGATACCACTCTGCCTCGATGCCAACTACGACCAGAGAGCAACATTTTATTGCAATTAAACATTTATCAAAATTTTTTATTTTAATCGTTCGTAAAACGTTAGGATTCTTTTATTTTCATATAATGATGCGTAATGCATATGCTTGTTGATTCCACAGTTATTTACACCGCCTATCTTCGTTTGATAAGCGATACGTATCATTTAAATTGTAATTAACGAAAGTCTCTATTCATTCAGCGTGAAACAATTTCAATGTACAATTCAAAATTCTCAATTTCACTTCTTATCGAACGTGTAACAGATAAACAGACGTTTATCTTTTATTAGCAATGTGAAATGTTTTATCTGGATAAGAATTTACCTATCTGCTCGAGGCAACATTGAAACCTGATATTTCAAAACTGAAGTCGATATGGAATGCAAAATTATGCTTTAGAATAAATGTTGAAAAATCAACAAAATTATTTCATTGATTTCAGCAGTAGTACTATATATATATATGTATGTATGTATGTATGTATGTATGTATTGTATTTTTCTATTTTTGTATTGTCTTTGGTTTTACACTAGCTTGAATATACTATCTAATATTTAAATGAAATAAAAATCAATATGATACTTCCACAAAAAAGACCATAAAAGAAATTTAAAGCGGATAAAGATAAGTTCGATCAATTTCAAATTCTAAATTTTATCGAACCAGTATCGAATGAAGTAACGCTCATCCTTTAGCAGATATTTGAAATTTTGTATTCAAATAAAAATTTGCTCGTCTCTGTTTTAGGCGACGCCAAACAAAACGTCTCGATCGCTCTTTCTGCGGTGTCGTTTTCACCGTGCTACTTGAGAACAACACCTGATCGTGGTAACTTCATTAGCTAACAGCCGTGCCGTCGATTACGGTTCATTGCATCATACATTGCGTCCACGCGTCGCAAAGTTTCATTCTCTCAGCTGACACGCGAAAAACGGGATAAAAGTCGACGACTGACGATTCAAACACACATTATTCAACGAGACAAATTTCCCCTGAAAGGGAACTCGGATTCGACGATCAGAATTTTCGGAAAATATTATATTGGAAACGTTTGTTCACGGTCTTAACGAGAAACATTATAGATTTTTAATTAAAATATTTTGTTCAATTAATAGTACTATTAAGCAATCGTAAGTATGCACCACTCTACCAATAATAATTGTAGGACTTGCTTGGTTGTGTGATTAATATTAATATGTTTATGTATTACTTGCGGTGCCTGTAGTATGTATAAATTCATTTGGAAATGGTCAAGGTATATTATAGAATATTGATACATTCTGTTATACTTGACACTATATTAAACAATATAGTATTAATGTTCACATGTCAAACGTTACAATATATTCAGCAATACAATAACATTAATAACACTTTAATATCTTGCCATATTAATTATTAATAAATCAATATATTTCCTTATGGTGCCTATAAGCAGCCATATTTATTGCAAACCACTAATCAATTCCCACAATTCTTATTAACCCTTTAAACTATTAGTACATTTCTCTCTGTGACCACGAGTCCCTACGAATTTACCCAAATTACACCATTACTCGACAGAGTACCTCGCATTGAAGAAAAAACTGCTCACATACCCTGCCGAAGCGTAACACTAATTCCAAAGAAATCGAGTCACAGCTCAAATACAAATCCCCAGCACGAAACCGAATTTCTCCAAAAACTCAGAAAACGTCTACAGCTCCGAGTAACATCTATTCTCTTCCCCCGATCACCGTGCGACGCAGAACCAACGTCGAGATTCACCTCGACGAAATCACCGAACTTTCACTCGTCCGCGCGGCACTCACCGCGTATTCGCGAACGATCGACGCGAACTGGAACACCAACGCGATTATTACGCGAATCAACTCCTAAACGAAGAGAAGAGCATGTGGAGGAGATCGCGGACCGAAAGGTAGTCACCACGATTGGCATTATTTCACAAACGACGGTCAAGAACTGTCGCACCACCTGTGGAGCACGCGTCCAGCGTGGAAATAATCAATCTAGCGCACGAAGCCCTGTCGCGAGGCTTACCATGAAGAAGCACTCGACTGGTCGCCGAGTGTCCCAAGCTGGATTCGCTGCTACCACTGGATTGGAGTTCCTTTCGATAAACACCGCGACTCGCAAAGAGTACACTCGAAATACTGTATTATTCGCGAAAGATTGATCGAAACGATCGTGAGTTTGATCGAAGAGGAGTACCACCGAATCGGAGCAAGCGCGAACACGAATTACGTGCGTAGCTAGCGATCTCGAGACTTCGACGGTATTACAGAGAGATCCGCGGCCGACGGGAGTCACCAGCGAACTGAGGCCAGCGCAGTGAAAGGCGAATCAAGCGTATGTACTGTCGGTGATAGTGGGGATGGAGGCGGCGGCGGTGGCGACAGCACCATCAGCAGTAGCGGCGTCGCGGCGCTCCAGGAGGGCAGCACAAAGCCAACCAATACTATCGACGCCGCGATTCCGAGACGAATTTAGCGGGTTGTAAATCCGATTACGCCGACGCGACCGTATCAAACGGTACATGCGAATTAATTAACCTCGGGCATGCAGTGCATTGTGATGCGTCACGTGCATTTTCAGTTAATTTTTTTCGTACAAGCTAGTCGATTTCTCAAAATAAATTCATTATTCAAAGTTTCCTTCCTTCTGAAATTTTCATTGGCAAGTCGTACTCGTTCATTTTTAGTTTTGCGAATTTCAACGAATTTCTTTTTCTGTTTTATGAATGGTAACGCAATTCTCAATTTTCATGAGAAATGTATTATTTAACCGATATTAACCAATCATCGTGATATTATTAGTACCTTCTAGACTTTCAAACTTTACTCACGATTGAAATAAATTCGAGTTCTTTCTTTTAAAAGATGTTTTAAATAACAAAAAAAAAAAAAAAAAAAAAAAAATAAAATTCCTTCATCTAAATAAGTTAATTACAACTTGCAATTTTATAATACGCTACCCTCTGGTGAACCAATTACTGTTTATAGTTTGATAACCGCTACAGCTACTTCTATATTTATACTAACATTATCCATATCGAACAAACACGGTTAGTCATCGCGGGGTGTTTCATGGTAGAGTGGAAGTACGTTTTGCGTGGGGGGGCCTTGGCTTCCATATCTTTCTACGCACAAACGCGCACCCTTCGGGGCGCTTCCAATTTACGAGTTCACTGTATTCCTTCCTTCCATCGACCACACGCTCTCGTATAACCTTATCCTGGCTGGCGTGTTCATTCAGAGACGCCCACGCGTTCCTCGGTATGACGTCATAGCGAGGTACTGGAGCAGTCGACGTGGTTACGCGGGGAGAGAGGCTGGATCTGGGGCAGAGCTACTCTCTTCAGCGGTTGGTTGATCAAACTTCAGCGTCGTTTGTCGGGTCTC